CACCATCACAACACCACCAACACAACACCACCAACACAACACCACCATCACAACACCACCCTCACAACACCACCCTCACAACACCACCATCACAACACCACCATCACAACACCACCCTCACAACACCACCATCACAACACCACGCTCACAATACCACGCCCACAACACCACCCTCACAATATCACCATCACAACACCACCATCACAACACCACCATCACAATACCACCATCACAATACCACGCCCACAACACCACCCTCACAATACCACCATCACAACACCACCATCACAACACCACCATCACAATAGCACGCTCACAACACCACCATCACAACACCACCACCACAACACCACCATCACAACACCACCATCACAACACCACCATCACAACACCACCATCACAACACCACCATCACAACACCACCATCACAACACCACCATCACAACACCACCCTCACAACACCACCCCCACAACACCACCATCACAACACCACCATCACAACACCACCATCACAATACCACCCTCACAACACCACCATTACAATACCACCATCACAACACCACCATCACAACACCACCATCACAACACCACCATCACATCACCACCATCACAATACCACCCTCACAACACCACCATTACAATACCACCATCACAACACCACCATCACAACACCACCCTCACAACACCACCATCACAACACCACCCTCACAACACCACCCCCACAACACCACCATCACAACACCACCATCACAACACCACCATCACAATACCACCCTCACAACACCACCATTACAATACCACCATCACAACACCACCATCACAACACCACCATCACAACACCACCATCACAATACCACCATCACAATACCACCATCACAACACCACCCTCACAACACCACCATCACAACACCACCATCACAACACCACCCCCACAACACTACCATCACAACACCACCATCACAACACCACCATCACAACACCACCCTCACAACACCACCATCACAACACCTCCCTCAGAACACCACCATCACAACACCTCCCTCACAACACCACCATCACAATACCACCATCACAATACCACCATCACAATAGCACGCTCACAATACCACCCTCACAACACCACCATCACAATACCACGCTCACAACACCACCCTCACAATACCACCCTCACAACACCACCATCACAATACCACGCTCACAATACCACCATCACAACACCACCATCACAACACCACCATCACAACACCACGCTCACAATACCACGCCCACAACACCACCCTCACAATACCACCATCACAACACCTCCCTCACAACACCACCGTCACAACACCTCCCTCACAATACCACCATCACAACACCACCATCACAACACCTCCCTCACAACACCACCGTCACAACACCTCCATCACAACACCACCAACACAACACCACCATCACAACACCTCCCTCACAATACCACCCTCACAACACCACCATCACAACACCACCATCACAACACCACCCTCACAACACCACCCTCACAACACCACCCTCACAACACCATCACAACACCACCAACACAACACCACCAACACAACACCACCATCACAACACCACCCTCACAACACCACCCTCACAACACCACCATCACAACACCACCATCACAACACCACCCCCACAACACCACCATCACAACACCACCATCACAACACCACCAACACAACACCACCATCACAACACCACCCTCACAACACCACCATCACAACACCACCATCACAACACCACCCTCACAACACCACCCCCACAACACCACCATCACAACACCACCATCACAACACCACCATCACAATACCACCCTCACAACACCACCATTACAATACCACCATCACAACACCACCCTCACAACACCAACACAACACCACCATCACAACACCACCCTCACAACACCACCCTCACAACACCACCCTCACAACACCATCACAACACCACCAACACAACACCACCATCACAACACCACCCTCACAACACCACCCTCACAACACCACCATCACAACACCACCATCACAACACCACCCTCACAACACCACCATCACAACACCACGCTCACAATACCACGCCCACAACACCACCCTCACAACACCACCCTCACAACACCACCCTCACAACACCATCACAACACCACCAACACAACACCACCCTCACAACACCACCATCACAACACCACCATCACAACACCACCCCCACAACACTACCATTACAACACCACCATCACAACACCACCATCACAACACCACCCTCACAACACCACCATCACAACACCTCCCTCACAACACCACCATCACAATACCACCATCACAATACCACCATCACAATAGCACGCTCACAATACCACCCTCACAACACCACCATCACAATACCACGCTCACAACACCACCCTCACAATACCACCCTCACAACACCACCATCACAATACCACGCTCACAATACCACCATCACAACACCACCATCACAACACCACCATCACAACACCACCATCACAACACCACGCTCACAATACCACGCCCACAACACCACCCTCACAATACCACCATCACAACACCTCCCTCACAACACCACCGTCACAACACCTCCCTCACAATACCACCATCACAACACCACCATCACAACACCTCCCTCACAACACCTCCCTCACAATACCACCCTCACAACACCACCATCACAACACCACCCTCACAACACCACCCTCACAACACCACCCTCACAACACCACCAACACAACACCACCAACACAACACCACCATCACAACACCACCCTCACAACACCACCCTCACAACACCACCATCACAACACCACCATCACAACACCACCCCCACAACACCACCATCACAACACCACCATCACAACACCACCAACACAACACCACCATCACAACACCACCCTCACAACACCACCATCACAACACCACCCTCACAACACCACCCCCACAACACCACCATCACAACACCACCATCACAACACCACCATCACAATACCACCCTCACAACACCACCATTACAATACCACCATCACAACACCACCCTCACAACACCAACACAACACCACCATCACAACACCACCCTCACAACACCACCCTCACAACACCATCACAACACCACCAACACAACACCACCAACACAACACCACCATCACAACACCACCCTCACAACACCACCCTCACAACACCACCATCACAACACCACCATCACAACACCACCCTCACAACACCACCATCACAACACCACCATCACAATACCACACCCACAACACCACCCTCACAATATCACCATCACAACACCACCATCACAACACCACCAACACAACACCACCATCACAACACCACCAACACAACACCACCATCACAACACCACCATCACAACACCACCATCACAACACCACCCTCACAACACCACCATCACAACACCACCATCACAACACCACCATCACAATACCACCATCACAATACCACCCTCACAACACCATCACAACACCACCAACACAACACCACCAACACAACACCACCATCACAACACCACCCTCACAACACCACCCTCACAACACCACCATCACAACACCACCATCACAACACCACCAACACAACACCACCATCACAACACCACCCTCACAACACCACCATCACAACACCACCATCACAACACCACCCTCACAACACCACCCCCACAACACCACCATCACAACACCACCATCACAACACCACCATCACAATACCACCCTCACAACACCACCATTACAATACCACCATCACAACACCACCCTCACAACACCAACACAACACCACCATCACAACACCACCCTCACAACACCACCCTCACAACACCACCCTCACAACACCATCACAACACCACCAACACAACACCACCAACACAACACCACCATCACAACACCACCCTCACAACACCACCCTCACAACACCACCATCACAACACCACCATCACAACACCACCCTCACAACACCACCATCACAACACCACGCTCACAATACCACGCCCACAACACCACCCTCACAATATCACCATCACAACACCACCATCACAACACCACCAACACAACACCACCATCACAACACCACCATCACAACACCACCCTCACAACACCACCATCACAACACCACCATCACAACACCACCCTCACAACACCACCACCACAACACCACCCTCACAACACCACCATCACAACACCACCCTCACAACACCACCATCACAACACCACCATCACAACACCACCATCACAACACCACCACCACAACACCACCATCACAACACCACCATCACAACACCACCCCCACAACACCACCACCACAACACCACCATCACAACACCACCATCACAACACCACCCTCACAACACCACCATCACAACACCACCCTCACAACACCACCATCACAACACCATCCCCAGAACACCACCATCACAACACCACCCTCACAACACCACCACCACAACACCACCATCACAACACCACCATCACAACACCACCAACACAACACCACCATCACAACACCACCAACACAACACCACCAACACCACCATCACAACACCACCAACACAACACCACCATCACAACACCACCATCACAACACCACCATCACAACACAACACACCGCCACCACAACACCACCATCACAACACCACCAACACCACCATCACAACAACACCACCATCACAACACAACAACACCACCATCACAACACCATCACAACACCACCATCACAACAACACCACCTCCCCCACAACACCACACACACAACACAACACAACACCACCAACACAACACAACAACACCACCATCACAACACCACCATCACAACACAACACACCGCCACCACCACCATCCCCACAACACCACCACCACAACACCACCAACACCACCATCACAACAACACCACCATCACAACACAACACCACCACCATTACAACACCACCTCCTCCACCCCCACAATGCCCTGCTGGTGTCCCACATGTACCGAGCAGGTCCACAATGACGGAGTTCCCCAGCAGGAGGGAGAATCCCATGAGCACCCACGGCAGGAAGGGCGCCTGGAAGTTGAGAAGGCCGAAGAAGTTCATCCGCACGTAAGGGTTCCGTCGGCTCCACACATACACCAGCATGATGGTGAACGCCTGGCCCAGGAACACGAGGTTCACACACAGGCCGCACAGCTGTGTCGTGGTGTGTGGTGTGTGTGGTGTGTGACCAACGTGGGGTTGGATTGTCAAGGTTTAGACAACGTGGTGATTGTGTGGTGTGTGTGGTGTGTGTGTGGGTGTGTGGTGTGTGACCAACGTGGGGTTGGATTGTCAAGGTTTAGACAACGTGGTGATTGTGTGGTGTGGTGTGTGTGGTGTGTGTGGTGTGTGTGGTGTGTGTGTGGTGTGTGTAATGTGGTGAGTGTGTGTGTGTGTGTGGTGTGTGTGTGTGGTGTGTGTGTGTGGTGTGTGTGGTATGTGTGTGGTGTGTGTGGTGTGTGTGTGTGTGGTGCGTGTGTGTGGTGTGAGCGTGGTGTGTGTGTGTGGTGTGTGTGGTGTGGTGTGTTGTGTGTGTGGTGTGTGTGTGGTGTGTGTGGTGTGTGTGTGGTGTGTGTGGTGTGTGTGTGGTGTGTGTGGTGTGTGTGTGGTGTGTGTGGTGTGTGTGTGGTGTGTGTGGTGTGTGTGGTGTGTGTGGTGTGTGTGTGGTGTGTGGTGTGTGTGTGATGTGTGTGCTGTGTGTGGTGTGTGTGGTGTGTGTGGTGTGTGTGTGGTGTGTGTGGTGTGTGTGTGGTGTGTGTGTGTGTGGTGTGTGACCAACGTGGGGTTGGATTGTCAAGGTTTAGACAACGTGGTGATTGTGTGTGTGGTGTGTGTGGTGTGGTGTGTGTGGTGTGTGTGGTGTGTGTGGTGTGTAATGTGTGTGTGTGTGTGGTGTGTGTGTGGTGTGTGTGGTGTGTGTGGTGTGTAGTGTAGTAGTGTATAGTGTAGTAGTGTATAGTGTAGTAGTGTATAGTGTAGTAGTGTATAGTGTAGTAGTGTAGTAGTGTATAGTGTAGTAGTGTATAGTGTAGTAGTGTATAGTGTAGTAGTGTATAGTGTAGTAGTGTATAGTGTAGTAGTGTATAGTGTAGTAGTGTATAGTGTAGTAGTGTATAGTGTAGTAGTGTATAGTGTATAGTGTAGTAGTGTATAGTGTAGTAGTGTAATAGTGTAGTAGTGTATAGTGTAGTAGTGTATAGTGTAGTAGTGTATAGTGTAGTAGTGTATAGTGTAGTAGTGTATAGTGTAGTAGTGTATAGTGTAGTAGTGTATAGTGTAGTAGTGTATAGTGTAGTAGTGTATAGTGTAGTAGTGTATAGTGTAGTAGTGTATAGTGTAGTAGTGTATAGTGTAGTAGTGTATAGTGTAGTAGTATAGTAGTGTATATAGTAGTATTATATGTAAGAGAGGATACGCTCATGAGCAGTAGTATAGTAGTGCATATAGTGTAGTGTATAGTAGTATATAGTATATAGTGTAGTGTATAGTGTAGTATATATAGTATAGTATTATATGTAAAAGAGGATACGCTCATGAGCAGTAGTTTAGTAGTGTATATAGTAGTGTGTATATAGTGTAGTGTATAGTAGTATATAGTGTAGTGTATAGTGTAGTATATATAGTGTAGTGTATTATATGTAAAAGAGGATACGCTCATGAGCAGTAGTATAGTAGTGTATATAGTAGTGTGTATAGTAGTATATAGTATATATAGTAGTGTGTATATAGTGTAGTGTATAGTATATAGTATATAGTGTAGTGTATAGTGTAGTATATATAGTGTAGTGTATTATATGTAAAAGAGGATACGCTCATGAGCAGTAGTTTAGTAGTGTGTATAGTAGTATATAGTATATATAGTAGTGTGTATATAGTGTAGTGTATAATAGTATATAGTGTAGTGTATAGTGTAGTATATATAGTGTAGTGTATTATATATAAGAGAGGATACGCTCATGAGCAGTAGTTTAGTAGTGTATATAGTAGTGTGTATAGTAGTATATAGTATATATAGTAGTGTGTATATAGTGTAGTGTATAGTAGTATATAGTATATATAGTGTAGTGTATAGTGTAGTATATATAGTGTAGTGTATTATATGTAAAAGAGGATACGCTCATGAGCAGTAGTATAGTAGTGTATATAGTAGTGTGTATAGTAGTATATAGTATATATAGTAGTGTGTATATAGTGTAGTGTATAGTAGTATATAGTATATAGTGTAGTGTATAGTGTAGTATATATAGTGTAGTGTATTATATATAAGAGAGGATACGCTCATGAGCAGTAGTATAGTAGTGTATATAGTAGTGTGTATAGTAGTATATAGTATATATAGTAGTGTGTATATAGTGTAGTGTATAGTAGTATATAGTATATAGTGTAGTGTATAGTGTAGTATATATAGTGTAGTGTATTATATGTAAAAGAGGATACGCTCATGAGCAGTAGTATAGTAGTGTATATAGGAGTGTGTATAGTAGTATATAGTATATATAGTAGTGTGTATATAGTGTAGTGTATAATAGTATATATAGTAGTGTGTATATAGTGTAGTGTATAGTAGTATATAGTATATATAGTAGTGTGTATATAGTGTAGTGTATAGTAGTGTATATATAGTAGTGTGTATATAGTGTAGTGTATAGTAGTATATAGTGTAGTGTATAGTGTAGTATATATAGTATAGTATTATATGTAAAAGAGGATACGCTCATGAGCAGTAGTTTAGTAGTGTATATAGTAGTGTGTATAGTAGTATATAGTATATATAGTAGTGTGTATATAGTGTAGTGTATAGTAGTGTATAGTGTAGTGTATAGTGTAGTATATATAGTGTAGTGTATTATATGTAAAAGAGGATACGCTCATGAGCAGGCCGCCGAACAGGAACATGAAGACAAAGTCGGCCGTCCGTCCACGGAACGACCCCTCCTCCAACATCCGGCAGTAGCGGTAACTATGGCAACGTCAAGTCAACAACAACCACAACAACAGCCACAACAACAACAACCACAACAACAACCACAACAACAACCACAACAACAACAGCCACCACAACCACAACAACCCCTCCTCCAACATCCGGCAGTAGCGGTAACTATGGCAACGTTAAGTCAACAACAACCACAACAACAGCCACAACAACAACAACCACAACAACAACCACAACAACAACCACAACAACAACAGCCACCACAACCACAACAACCCCTCCTCCAACATCCGGCAGTAGCGGTAACTATGGCAACGTTAAGTCAACAACAACCACAACAACAGCCACAACAACAACAACCACAACAACAACCACAACAACAACCACAACAACAACAGCCACCACAACCACAACAACCCCTCCTCCAACATGCGGCAGTAGCGGTAACTATGGCAACGTCAAGTCAACAACAACCACAACAACAGCCACAACAACAACAACCACAACAACAACCACAACAACAACCACAACAACCACAACAACAACCACAACAACAACAGCCACCACAACCACAACAACACCTCCTCCAACATCCGGCAGTAGCGGTAACTATGGCAACGTCAAGTCAACAACAACAACAACAGCCACAACAACAACAACAACCACCACAACAACAACCACAACAACCACCACCACGACCCCTCCTCCAACATGCGGCAGTAGCGGTAACTATGGCAACGTTAAGTCAACAACAACAACCACAACAACAACCACAACAACAACCACAACAATAGCCACAACAACAACAACCACAACAACAACAACCACCACAACCCCTCCTCCAGCATCCGGCAGTAGCGGTAACTATGGCAACGTCAAGTCAACAACAACCACAACAACAGCCACAACAACAACAACCACAACAACAACCACAACAACAACCACAACAACAACAGCCACCACAACCACAACAACCCCTCCTCCAACATCCGGCAGTAGCGGTAACTATGGCAACGTCAAGTCAACAACAACAACAGCCACAACAACAACAACCACAACAACCACCAACAACAACAACCACAACAACCACCACCACGACCCCTCCTCCAACATGCGGCAGTAGCGGTAACTATGGCAACGTTAAGTCAACAACAACCACAACAACAACCACAACAACAACCACAACAACCACAACAACAACCACAACAACAACAACAACAACCACAACAACAATCACAACAACAACCACCACAACCCCTCCTCCAGCATGCGGCAGTAGCGGTAACTATGGCAACGTCAAGTCAACAACAACAACAACCACAACAACAACCACAACAACAACAATCACAACAACAACCACCACGACCCCTCCTCCAGCATGCGGCAGTAGCGGTAACTATGGCAATGTTAAGTCAACAACAACCACAACAACCACCACCACAACAACCCCCACCGACTCATGCATGATCACTCACGATGAGGCTGATGATGATGATTGATGATGTTGATGATGATGTTGATGATGACGATGCTGCTGATGATGCTGCTGATGACGATGCCATTGATGACGATGTTGATGATGTTGATGATGATGATGTTGATGATGATGCTGCTGATGATGATGTTGTTGATGATGCTGCTGATGATGTTGCTGCTGATGATGATGCTGCTGATGATGATGTTAATGATGTTGATGTTGATGATGTTGATGATGATTCTGTTGATGATGCTGTTGATGATGCTGCTGCTGCTGCTGATGCTGTTGATGATGCTGTTGATGATGTGGCTGATGATGCTGCTGCTGATGATGCTGCTGATGCTGCTGATGATGCTGAGGCTGATGATGCTGCTGCTGATGATGCTGATGATGATGTTGATGATGTTGATGATGATGTTGTTTATGATGTTGATGATGCTGCTGATGATGTTGATGATAATGTTGATGATGATGTTGATGATGTTGATGTTGATGCTGCTGCTGATGATGATGCTGCTGATGTTGATGATGTTGATGATGATGTTGTTGATGATGTTGATGATGTTGATGATGTTGATGATGTTAATGATGATGATGTAGGATACAGGAAGACCATGATGATGTTGATGATGTTGATGATGATGATGTTGATGATGATGTTAATGATGATGTTGTTAAGGATGATGATGTTGATGCTGTTGATGATGTTGATGATGATGTAGGATACAGGATGACCATGATGATGATGTTGATGATGTTGATGATGATGATGCTGCTGCTCCTGATGATGATGCTGATGTTGATGATGTTGATGATGATGATGTAGGATACAGGAAGACCATGTTAAAGATGCTGCTGATGATGATGATGATGCTGATGATGATGTAGGATACAGGAAGACCATGTTGATGATGATGTAGGATACAGGAAGACCATGTTGATGATGATGATGTTGATGTAGGATACAGGAAGACCATGTTGATGATGATGATGTTGATGTAGGATACAGGAAGACCATGTTGATGATGATGATGTTGATGTAGGATACAGAAAGACCATGTTGATGATGATGATGTTGATGTAGGATACAGGAAGACCATGTTGATGATGATGATGCTGATGATGATGTAGGATACAGGAAGACCATGTTGATGATGCTGATGATGATGTAGGATACAGGGAGACCATGTTGATGATGATGCTGATGATGATGTAGGATACAGGAAGACCATGTTGATGATGATGTTGATGATGTTGATGCTGATGTTGATGTAGGATACAGGAAGACCATGTTGATGATGATGTAGGATACAGGAAGACCATGTTGATGATGATGATGATGATGCTGATGATGATGTAGGATACAGGAAGACCATGTTGATGATTATGATGTTGATGATGTTGATGCTGATGATGATGTAGGATACAGGAAGACCATGTTGATGATGATGATGTTGATGATGTTGATGATGTAGGATACAGGAAGACCATGTTGATGATGATGTTGATGATGTTGATGTAGGATACAGGAAGACCATGATGTTGATGATGATGCTGATGAAGGATACAGGAAGACCATGATGTTGATGATGATGCTGATGAAGGATACAGGAAGACCATGATGATGATGCTGATGATGTAGGATACAGGAAGACCATGTTGATGATGATGATGATGCTGATGATGTTGATGTAGGATACAGGAAGACCATGATGATGATGTTGATGATGATGATGTTGTTAATGATTATGTTGTTAATGATGTTGATGTAGGATACAGGAAGACCATGTTGAAGAGGAAGTTGAATCCCACCGGTCCAAAGAAAAGAAAATTGGTGATCAACCTCCAGACCTGCACACAAAGACACACAGACACACACACAGTCACACACACACACAGTCACACACACACAGTCACACACACAGTCACACACACAGTCACACACACAGTCACACACAGTCACACACACAGTCACACACAGTCACACACAGTCACACAGTCACAGTCACACAGTCACAGTCACACACACAGACACACACACAGTCACACACACAGACACACACACAGTCACACACACACACAGTCACACACACACAGTCACACACACACAGTCACACACACACAGTCACACACAGTCACACACACAGTCACACACACACACAGTCACACAGTCACACACACAGTCACACACACACAGTCACACACACACACAGACACACACACAGTCACACACACAGTCACACACAGACACACACACAGTCACACACACAGTCACACACAGACACACACACAGTCACACACACAGTCACACACAGTCACACACACAGTCACACACACAGTCACACACACAGTCACACACAGTCACACACACACACAGACACACACACAGTCACACACACAGAGTCACACACAGACACACACACAGTCACACACACAGTCACACACACAGTCACACACAGACACACAGACACACACACACAGACACACACACACAGACACACACACACAGACACACACACACAGACACACACACACAGACACACACACAGTCACACACACACAGACTCACTCTCAGACACACACACACAGACACACACACAGACACACACACACACAGACACACACACACAGACACACACACAGTCACACACACACACAGTCACACACAGATACACACACACACACAGACACACACACACAGGCTCACTCTCAGACACACACACTAGGACAACAACAACAAACGCCATTCGCCACTAAGTGGCGGTGACGTCACCACGACGCTTGTGCCAGGCTATGTGCACCCTGAGGCCAGGTGAAGTGTCGAACGCCCGCTGGCAGGAGGTCACGGGGCAGACCCAGGTGCCACGGGTCGACTCACTGAGATGAGTGGCTGATGCACCACCTGTGCCCCCTACTGTGCCAACCTGCTGTGCTTCAGCCACCCGGCGCTCCGCTCGTTGTTCTGAGCGTCGCTCCTCCGCCCTCCGTTGTTGTTGGAGGGCGACTGCCTCCAACTGCCCAGTAGCGTCCTTCACGAGCCTCCTCCACAGAGGCCGATCTTGACACCGCTGGTACCAGTCATTGGCAAGTCCACTCAACTCCACGTCCTCCTGTACCACATCACTCCATCTCTTCTATAGCCCGTGCCGCGCCCGCTTAGCCCCCTCAATCCGGCCGAACAAAAGCTGTTTCGGCATGCGGTGGCTGGGCATGCGGGCTACATGACCCAGCCATCGCAGCCTTCCCCGCCGGAGGAGCTCACCGATGGGACCTTGCCCAGATCTTTCAAGGATTTTTGAGCTCCTCACACAATCCAGTCTGGTTAAACCCAGGATGGATCGTAGGCAGGCCAGCCTAAATGTTTCTAACCGGCGAAGATGTTCCATTAGGGGGGTCCACGTTTCGCAAGTGTAGAGAAGGGAGGGAATGACCGTGGCCGAGAAGACCTGAAGCTTAGTGCGGAGCGACAGACCAGGTAGCTTCCACACAGCGTTACGCAACCGATGAAAAGATATTGCCGCTCGACTGATTCGGAGTGAGACCTCTGCTGTTAAACTGGAGCCAGTCATAAGCACACTGCCCAGGTATGGGAAACTCTCCACTCTCTCCACAACTGCCCCATCACCAATTGGGAGTTGTGGGGGTGGAGTGTCCGATGGTACAAAATACCCAGGCAGGTGCTTAGTTTTGGTGGGGCTGATGGTAAGGCCCCACCTCTTAGTGGCACGCTCCAGTCTCAGCAGCAGCGTCTCCAACTCCTCCTCCGAATGTGCAGCTATTACCAAATCATCAGCATACATAACATGGTTGAGCAATAGGGAGCCATCCCTTGACCGCACCCGGGCATCGATCAGCCTCCCATTATATCTGTACTATATGGAGATTCCCCCGGTACAGCTATTGAAGGCTTCACGAACTACGTGGTCAAAATAGATGTTAAATAATGTGGGAGCCAGAGGACATCCCTGTCGCACCCCAAGGTGTACAGGGAATGGCTCTGACTCCCGGCCACGTAGTTTTACCCGGGCCCGCTCACCATCATGAAGGTCCTTAATGATCGTGAGCAGAGGGTCAGGTACTCCAAAAGCACGAAGAACAACCCAGAGCCCAGGCCTACTGATGTTATCATAGGCCTTGACCAGGTCAATAAAGCAGAGATGTAGGTCTTGTTGGAATTCCCTACACCTCTGCTGTAGCAGACTGACAGAAAATATGGCATCTGTGCAGGACCGCCCTTTCCTGAAACCGCATTGGGGCTCCGCAAGCCTCTCCTCAGCGTGCCTGGCAAGGCGATGTTGAATAATCCTTGCCAGGACCTTTCCTGGCACACTGAGGAGTGAGATGCCCCTGTAGTTGTTACAGTCTGTGCGGTCCCCCTTCTTAAAAAGGGGGACCACCAGGGCATCCTTCCAATCCTGTGGAACCCGTCCAGTGGTCCAGACTGTTGTTATGATGTCACACACACACAGACACACACAGACACACACACACACACAGACACGCACGCAGAAACACACACACAGACAGACACACAGAGAGACACAGTCAAACACACACACAGACACACACACACAGACACACACACACACCGTGAACCCAGTCATGGTGAGTCTATGGGTCTCTGTGTGGTGAGTCTGTGGGTCTCTGTGGGTGAGTCTGTGGGTCTCTGTGTGGTGAGTCTGTGGGTCTCTGTGTGGTGAGTCTGTGGGTCTCTGTGTGGTGAGTCTGTGGGTCTCTGTGGGTGAGTCTGTGGGTCTATGTGTGGTGAGTCTATGGGTCTCTGTGTAGTGAGTCTATGGGTCTCTGCGTGTTGAGTCTCTGTGTGGTGAGTCTGTGGGTCTCTGTGTGGTGAGTCTGTGGGTCTATGTGTGGTGAGTCTATGGGTCTCTGTGTGGTGAGTCTATGAGTCTCTGTGTGGTGAGTCTATGGGTCTCTGTGTGGTGAGTCTATGGGTCTCTGTGTGATGAGTCTATGGGTCTCTGTGTGGTGAGTCTATGGGTCTCTGTGTGGTGAGTCTGTGGGTCTCTGTGTGATGAGTCTGTGGGTCTCTGTGTGGTGAGTCTATGGGTGTCTGTGTGGTGAGTCTGTGGGTCTCTGTGTGGTGAGTCTGTGGGTCTCTGTGTGGTGAGTCTGTGGGTCTCTGTGTGGTGAGTCTGTGGGTCTCTGTGTGGTGAGTCTGTGGGTCTCTGTGTGGTGAGTCTGTGGGTCTCTGTGTGGTGAGTCTGTCGGTCTCTGTGTGGTGAGTCTGTGGGTCTCTGTGTGGTGAGTCTGTGGGTCTCTGTGTGGTGAGTCTGTGGGTCTCTGTGTGGTGAGTCTGTGGGTCTCTGTGTGGTGAGTCTGTGGGTCTCTGTGTGGTGAGTCTGTGGGTCTCTGTGTGGTGAGTCTGTGGGTCTCTGTGTGGTGAGTCTGTGGGTCTCTGTGTGGTGAGTCTGTGGGTCTCTGTGTGGTGAGTCTGTGGGTCTCTGTGTGGTGAGTCTGTGGGTCTCTGTGTGGTGAGTCTGTGGGTCTCTGTGTAGTGAGTCTGTGGGTCTCTGTGTGGTGAGTCTATGGGTATCTGTGTGGTGAGTCTGTGGGTCTCTGTGTGGTGAGTCTGTGGGTCTCTGTGTGATGAGTCTGTGGGTCTCTGTGTGGTGAGTCTGTGGGTCTCTGTGTGGTGGGTCTATGGGTCTCTGTGTGGTGAGTTTGTGGGTCTCTGTGTGGTGAGTCTGTGGGTTTCTGTGTGGTGAGTCTGTGGGTCTTTGTGTGGTGAGTCTGTGGGTCTCTGTGTGGTGAGTCTATGGGTATCTGTGTGGTGAGTCTGTGGGTCTCTGTGTTGTGAGTCTGTGGGTCTCTGTGTGGTGAGTCTGTGGGTCTCTGTGTGGTGAGTCTGTGGGTCTCTGTGTGGTGAGTCTGTGGGTCTCTGTGTGGTGAGTCTGTGGGTCTCTGTGTGGTGAGTCTGTGGGTCTCTGTATGGTGAGTCTGTGGGTCTCTGTGGAGAGTCTGTGGGTCTCTGTGTGGTGAGTATGTGGGTCACTGTGTGGTGAGTCTATGGGTCTCTGTGTGGTGAGTCTGTGGGTCTCTGTGTGGTGAGTCTATGGGTATCTGTGTGGTGAGTCTGTGGGTCTCTGTGTGGTGAGTCTGTGGGTCTCTGTGTGGTGAGTCTGTGGGTCTCTGTGGTGAGTCTGTGGGTCTCTGTGTGGTGAGTCTGTGGGTTTCTGTGTGGTGAGTCTGTGGGTCTTTGTGTGGTGAGTCTGTGGGTCTCTGTGTGGTGAGTCTGTGGCTATCTGTGTGGTGAGTCTGTGGGTCTCTGTGTGGTGAGTCTGTGGGTCTCTGTGTGGTGAGTCTGTGGGTCTCTGTGTGGTGAGTCTGTGGGTTTCTGTATGGTGAGTCTGTGGGTCTTTGTGTGGTGAGTCTGTGGGTCTCTGTGTGGTGAGTCTGTGGGTCTCTGTGTGGTGAGTCTGTGGGTCTCTGTGTGGTGAGTCTGTGGGTTTCTGTGTGGTGAGTCTGTGGGTCTCTGTGTGGTGAGTCTGTGGGTCTCTGTGGTGAGTCTGTGGGTCTCTGTGTGGTGAGTCTGTGGGTCTCTGTGTGGTGAGTCTGTGGGTTTCTGTATGGTGAGTCTGTGGGTCTTTGTGTGGTGAGTCTGTGGGTCTCTGTGTGGTGAGTCTATGGGTCTCTGTGTGGTGAGTCTGTGGGTCTCTGTGTGGTGAGTCTATGGGTATCTGTGTGGTGAGTCTGTGGGTCTCTGTGTGGTGAGTCTGTGGGTCTCTGTGGTGAGTCTGTGGGTCTCTGTGTGGTGAGTCTGTGAATTTCTGTATGGTGAGTCTGTGGGTCTTTGTGTGGTGAGTCTGTGGGTCTCTGTGTGGTGAGTCTGTGGGTCTCTGTGTGGTGAGTCTGTGGGTCTCTGTGTGGTGAGTCTGTGGGTTTCTGTGTGGTGAGTCTGTGGGTCTCTGTGTGGTGAGTCTATGGGTCTCTGTGTGGTGAGTCTGTGGGTCTCTGTGTGATGAGTCTGTGGGTCTCTGTGTGGTGAGTCTATGGGTGTCTGTGTGGTGAGTCTGTGGGTCTCTGTGTGGTGAGTCTGTGGGTCTCTGTGTGGTGAGTCTGTGGGTCTCTGTGTGGTGAGTCTGTGGCTATCTGTGTGGTGAGTCTGTGGGTCTCTGTGTGGTGAGTCTGTGGGTCTCTGTGTGGTGAGTCTGTGGGTCTCTGTGTGGTGAGTCTGTGGGTTTCTGTATGGTGAGTCTGTGGGTCTTTGTGTGGTGAGTCTGTGGGTCTCTGTGTGGTGAGTCTGTGGGTCTCTGTGTGGTGAGTCTGTGGGTCTCTGTGTGGTGAGTCTGTGGGTTTCTGTGTGGTGAGTCTGTGGGTCTCTGTGTGGTGAGTCTGTGGGTCTCTGTGGTGAGTCTGTGGGTCTCTGTGTGGTGAGTCTGTGGGTCTCTGTGTGGTGAGTCTGTGGGTTTCTGTATGGTGAGTCTGTGGGTCTCTGTGTGGTGAGTCTGTGGGTCTCTGTGTGGTGAGTCTATGGGTCTCTGTGTGGTGAGTCTGTGGGTCTCTGTGTGGTGAGTCTATGGGTATCTGTGTGGTGAGTCTGTGGGTCTCTGTGTGGTGAGTCTGTGGGTCTCTGTGGTGAGTCTGTGGGTCTCTGTGTGGTGAGTCTGTGGGTTTCTGTGTGGTGAGTCTGTGGGTCTTTGTGTGGTGAGTCTGTGGGTATCTGTGTGGTGAGTCTGTGGCTATCTGTGCGGTGAGTCTGTGGGTCTCTGTGTGGTGAGTCTGTGGGTCTCTGTGTGGTGAGTCTGTGGGTCTCTGTGTGGTGAGTCTGTGGGTCTCTGTATGGTGAGTCTGTGGGTCTCTGTGTGGTGAGTCTGTGGGTCTCTGTGTGGTGAGTCTGTGGGTCTCTGTGTGGTGAGTCTGTGGGTCTCTGTGTGGTGAGTCTGTGGGTTTCTGTGTGGTGAGTCTGTGGGTCTCTGTGTGGTGAGTCTATGGGTCTCTGTGTGGTGAGTCTATGGGTCTCTGTGTGGTGAGTCTGTGGGTCTCTGTGTGGTGAGTCTGTGGGTCTCTGTGTGGTGAGTCTGTGGGTCTCTGTGTGGTGAGTCTGTGGGTTTCTGTGTGGTGAGTCTGTGGGTCTCTGTGTGGTGAGTCTGTGGGTCTCTGTGGTGAGTCTGTGGGTCTCTGTGTGGTGAGTCTGTGGGTCTCTGTGTGGTGAGTCTGTGGGTTTCTGTATGGTGAGTCTGTGGGTCTTTGTGTGGTGAGTCTGTGGGTCTCTGTGTGGTGAGTCTATGGGTCTCTGTGTGGTGAGTCTGTGGGTCTCTGTGTGGTGAGTCTATGGGTATCTGTGTGGTGAGTCTGTGGGTCTCTGTGTGGTGAGTCTGTGGGTCTCTGTGGTGAGTCTGTGGGTCTCTGTGTGGTGAGTCTGTGGGTTTCTGTGTGGTGAGTCTGTGGGTCTTTGTGTGGTGAGTCTGTGGGTCTCTGTGTGGTGAGTCTGTGGCTATCTGTGCGGTGAGTCTGTGGGTCTCTGTGTGGTGAGTCTGTGGGTCTCTGTGTGGTGAGTCTGTGGGTCTCTGTGTGGTGAGTCTGTGGGTTTCTGTGTGGTGAGTCTGTGGGTCTTTGTGTGGTGAGTCTGTGGGTCTCTGTGTGGTGAGTCTGTGGGTCTCTGTGTGGTGAGTCTGTGGGTCTCTGTGTGGTGAGTCTGTGGGTTTCTGTGTGGTGAGTCTGTGGGTCTCTGTGTGGTGAGTCTATGGGTCTCTGTGTGGTGAGTCTATGGGTCTCTGTGTGGTGAGTCTGTGGGTCTCTGTGTGGTGAGTCTGTGGGTGTCTGTGTGGTGAGTCTGTGGGTCTCTGTGTGGTGAGTCTGTGGGTCTCTGTGGTGAGTCTGTGGCTCTCTGTGTGGTGAGTCTGTGGGTCTCTGTGTGGTGAGTCTGTGGGTTTCTGTATGGTGAGTCTGTGGGTCTTTGTGTGGTGAGTCTGTGGGTCTCTGTGTGGTGAGTCTATGGGTCTCTGTGTGGTGAGTCTGTGGGTCTCTGTGTGGTGAGTCTATGGGTATCTGTGTGGTGAGTCTGTGGGTCTCTGTGTGGTGAGTCTGTGGGTCTCTGTGGTGAGTCTGTGGGTCTCTGTGTGGTGAGTCTGTGGGTTTCTGTGTGGTGAGTCTGTGGGTCTCTGTGTGGTGAGTCTGTGGGTCTCTGTGTGGTGAGTCTGTGGCTATCTGTGCGGTGAGTCTGTGGGTCTCTGTGTGGTGAGTCTGTGGGTCTCTGTGTGGTGAGTCTGTGGGTCTCTGTGTGGTGAGTCTGTGGGTTTCTGTATGGTGAGTCTGTGGGTCTTTGTGTGGTGAGTCTGTGGGTCTCTGTGTGGTGAGTCTGTGGGTCTCTGTGTGGTGAGTCTGTGGGTCTCTGTGTGGTGAGTCTGTGGGTTTCTGTGTGGTGAGTCTGTGGGTTTCTGTATGGTGAGTCTGTGGGTCTTTGTGTGGTGAGTCTGTGGGTCTCTGTGTGGTGAGTCTGTGGGTCTCTGTGTGGTGAGTCTGTGGGTCTCTGTGTGGTGAGTCTATGGGTCTCTGTGTGGTGAGTTTATGAATCGACTCACCTGAAAGTGCCTGAATATGAGGTCTGGGTTGTAGTACAGCTGGAATGGGGTTATGATCTCCAGCTGCTGCTCACACACACACAGACACACACACAGAGACACAGACACACGCAGACACACACACACAAGGACACACACACACAGACACACACACACACAAGGACACACACACACACAGGACTAGTAATGGTAGCGATGATGGGAGCGATAGTGGTGGTGACAGTGATGATGGTGGTGACAGTGATGATGGTGGTGGTGACAGTGATGATGGTGGTGGTGACAGTGATGATGGTGGTGATAGTGATGATGGTGGTGGTGACAGTGATGATGGTGGTGACAGTGATGATGGTGGTGGTGGTGATAGTGATGATGGTGGTGGTGATAGTGATGATGGTGGTGGTGATAGTGATGATGGTGGTGGTGATAGTGATGATGGTGGTGGTGACAGTGATGATGGTGGTGGTGACAGTGATGATGGTGGTGGTGACAGTGATGATGGTGGTGGTGATAGTGATGTAGTAGTGATGGTAGTAGTGATGTAAGTGATGTAATAGTGATGTAGTAGTGATGTAGTAGTGATGGTGATGTAGTAGTGATGGTGATGTAATAGTGATGTAGTAGTGATGGTGATGTAGTAGTGATGGTGATGTAATAGTGATGTAGTAGTGATGGTGATGTAATAGTGATGTAGTAGTGATGGTGATGTAATAGTGATGTAGTAGTGATGGTGATGTAATAGTGATGTAGTAGTGATGGTGATGTAATAGTGATGTAGTAGTGATGGTGATGTAATAGTGATGTAGTAGTGATGTAGTAGTGATGTAATAGTGATGGTGATGTAATAGTGATGTAATAGTGATGTAGTAGTGATGTAGTAGTGATGGTGATGTAATAGTGATGTAGTAGTGATGGTGTTGTAGTAGTGATGGTGATGTAGTAGTGATGGTGATGTAGTAGTGATGGTGATGTAGTAGTGTAATAATGATGTAGTAGTGATGTAGTAGTGATGTAGTAGTGATGTAGTAGTGATGGTGATGTAGTAGTGATGGTGATGTAGTAGTGATGTAGTAGTGATGTAGTAGTGATGGTGATGTAGTAGTGATGGTGATGTAGTAGTGTAATAATGATGTAGTAGTGATGTAGTAGTGATGTAGTAGTGATGGTGATGTAGTAGTGATGGTGATGTAGTAGTGATGGTGATGTAATAGTGATGTAGTAGTGATGTAATAGTGATGTAGTAGTGATGTAATAGTGATGGTGATGTAGTAGTGATGTAATAGTGATGGTGATGTAGTAGTGATGGTGATGTAGTAGTGATGGTGATGTAGTAGTGATGTAGTAGTGATGGTGATGTAGTAGTGTAGGTGATGTAGTAGTGATGTAGTAGTGATGTAGTAGTGATTTAATAGTGATGGTGATGTAATAGTGATGGTGATGTAATAGTGATGTAGTAGTGATGTAGTAGTGATGTAATAGTGATGTAGTAGTGATGGTGATGTAGTAGTGATGGTGATGTAGTAGTGATGGTGATGTAATAGTGATGTAGTAGTGATGTAGTAGTGATGGTGATGTAATAGTGATGTAATAGTGATGTAGTAGTGTAGTAGTGATGTAATAGTGATGTAGTAGTGATGTAATAGTGATGTAGTAGTGATAGTGATGTAATAGTAATGTAGTATTGATGTAGTAGTGATGGAGATGTAGTAGTGATGTAGTAGTGATGGTGTTGTAATAGTGATGTAATAGTGATGTAGTAGTGTAGTAGTGATGTAATAGTGATGTAGTAGTGATGTAGTAGTGATGTAGTAGTGATGGTGATGTATTAGTGGTGGTGATGTAGTAGTGATGTAGTAGTGATGGTGATGTAGTAGTGGTGGTGATGTAATAGTGATGGTGATGTAGTAGTGATGTAGTAGTGATGTAGTAGTGATGGTGATGTAGTAGTGATGTAGTAGTGATGTAGTAGTGATGGTGATGTAGTAGTGATGGTAGTAGTGATGTAGTAGTGATGGTGATGTAGTAGTGATGGTGATGTAGTAGTGATGTAGTAGTGATGTAGTAGTGATGGTGATGTAGTAGTGATGTAGTAGTGATGTAGTAGTGATGGTGATGTAGTAGTGATGGTAGTAGTGATGTAGTAGTGATGGTGATGTAGTAGTGATGGTGATGTAGTAGTGATGTAGTAGTGATGTAATAGTGATGTAGTAGTGATGTAATAGTGATGTAGTAGTAGTGTAGTAGTGATGGTGATGTAGTAGTGATGGTGATGTAGTAGTGATGATGATGTAGTAGTGATGGTGATGTAGTAGTGATGGTGATGTAGTAGTGGTGGTGATGTAGTAGTGATGTAGTAGTGATGTAGTAGTGATGGTGATGTAGTAGTGATGGTGATGTAGTAGTGATGTAATAGTGATGGTGATGTAGTAGTGATGTAGTACTGATGTAATAGTGATGTAATAGTGATGTAGTAGTGATGTAGTAGTGATGGTGATGTAGTAGTGATGGTGATGTAGTAGTGATGTAGTAGTGATGTAGTAGTGATGGTGATGTAATAGTGATGTAATAGTGATAGTGATGTAGTAGTGATGTAGTAGTGATGGTGATGTAGTAGTGATGTAGTAGTGATGGTGATGTAGTAGTGATGGTGATGTAGTAGTGATGGTGATGTAGTAGTGATGTAATAGTGATGGTGATGTAGTAGTGATGTAGTACTGATGTAATAGTGATGTAATAGTGATGTAGTAGTGATGTAGTAGTGATGTAGTAGTGATGGTGATGTAGTAGTGATGTAATAGTAGTGATGTAGTAGTGATGTAGTAGTGATGGTGATGTAGTAGTGATGGTGATGTAGTAGTGATGTAATAGTGATGGTGATGTAGTAGTGATGTAGTAGTAGTGTAGTAGTGATGTAGTAGTGATGTAGTAGTGATGGTGATGTAGTAGTGGTGGTGATGTAGTAGTGATGGTGATGTAGTAGTGATGTAGTAGTGATGTAGTAGTGGTGGTGATGTAGTAGTGATGGTGATGTAGTAGTGACGTAGTAGTGATGGTGATGTAGTAGTGATGTAGTAGTGATGTAGTAGTGATGGTGATGTAGTAGTGATGTAGTAGTGATGTAGTAGTGATGATGATGTAGTAGTGATGTAACAGTGATGTAATAGTGATGTAATAGTGATGTAGTAGTAGTGATGGTGATAGTGATGTAGTAGTGATAGTGATGTAGTAGTGATGGTGATAGTGATGTAGTAGTGATGGTGATGTAATAGTGATGGTGATGTAGTAGTGATGGTGATAGTGATGTAGTAGTGATGGTGATGTAGTAGTGATGTAACAGTGATGTAATAGTGATGTAGTAGTGATGTAGTAGTGATGGTGATGTAGTAGTGTAGTAGTGATGTAGTAGTGATGGTGATGTAGTAGTGATGGTGATGTAGTAGTGATGGTGATGTAGTAGTGATGGTGATGTAGTAGTGATGGTGATGTAGTAGTGATGTAGTAGTGATGGTGATGTAGTAGTGATGTAGTAGTGATGGTGATGTAGTAGTGATGGTGATGTAGTAGTGATGTAATAGTGATGTAGTAGTGATGTAGTAGTGATAGTGATGTAATAGTGGTGGTGATGTAGTATTCACCACGGCAGCTGTAGTGATGACACAGGCACTGGTGTAAACCCTGGTGACAGGAGGCATCACGAGGTATTCGTGCTGCAGCGGCTGAAAGGCCATGGCGTGGCGATAGGGGAAGCCACCACCACAACAACTACCACAACAACAACCACAACAACTACCACCACCACAACAACCACAACAACTACCACCACTACTACAACCACCACAACCACAACGACTACAACCACACCACCACAACAACCACACCACAACAACAACCACACCACTACAACAACCACACCACAACAACCACCACCACAACAACCACAACAACAACTACCACCACACCACCACCACTACTACAACAACCACCACAACCACCACTACTACAACAACAACCACGTCAACCACCACGACAACAACCACCACCACCACTCCCCGTTACGCTGTCAGAGCCTTGTCAACTGTCAACTCCTCCTCCTCAGCGAGGCCCCGTGCTCGGATCGTCGTCTTCTCCCCAAAGCGCCGTGGCCGCTTTATTGGCAACGTCTCTACCGATTACGGTAGACATCTTCCGGAAGATCGGTAGCAGGCGTAACAGGTCTACCGATTACGGAAGATGTCTTCCGGAAGATCGGTAGTAGGGTGACGGGTCTACCGATTACGGTAGACAACTTCTGGAAGATCGGTAGCAGGCGTAACAGGTCTACCGATTACGGAAGATGTCTTCCGGAAGATCGGTAGTGGGGTGATGGGTCTACCGATTACGGTAGATAACTTCCGGAAGATCGGTAGCAGGCGTAACAGGTCTACCGATTACGGAAGATCTCTTGCGGAAGATCGGTTGATAGGGTGAAATGTCTACCGAATACGGAAGATACCTTCCGGAAGATCGGTAGCAGGCGTAACAGGTCTATCGGTTACGGAAGATGTCTTCCGGACGATCGGTAGATAGGTGACAGGACTACCGAATACGGAAGATGTCTTCCGGAAGATCAGTAGTAGGGTGATGGGTCTACCGATTACGAAAGGTCTCTTCCGGATGATCGGTAGATGGGGTGAAGGGTCTACCGATTACGGTAGACATCTTCCGGAAGATCAGTAGCTGGGGCCACGGATCTACCGATTACGGAAGATGTCTTCCGGAAGATCTGTAGATGGGTGACGGGTCTACCGATTACGGAAGACGTCTTCCGGAAGAGTGGTAGAGGGCGTGAGAGTCTACCGAATACGGAAGACGTCTTCCGGAAGACGCAAGTCCCCACGCTGAGCAATATTTGAGTTTGTGTTTTATTGGTGGGCAGGAAGGCTTCTTCCGGAATAAGGGCACGCGTTTAGCAGCTTCCGCAAGATGGAGTGGTGGGTAGAGATCTTCCGGAAGATCTCCTCCGCTTCTAGCAGAGGTGTGCCCGTTCATAAATCCGTTTAACAATCTTCTGCTTCTGGAAGATAACGTCGTCAAAGCCACGTGGTGGAGATATCGATTACGTCGTGGCCAGCCCTTATTGGTCCGCTCGACGTCACGTGATCGCTTAGAACAGCCTTTATGTCGTCACAGAAAACTCGGTTGGCCACGTGGAGGTGACTCGGAAGCTCGTTGCAGTTAATGATTCACTCATTCATTCACTCAATCATTCATTCACTCATTCACTCACTCATTCACTCACTCGTTCACTCATTCATTAATTCACTCACTCATTCATTCACTCACTCATTCAATCATTCACTCAGTCATTAATTCACTCACTCATTCAATCATTCACTCAGTCATTAATTCACTCATTCATTCACTCACTCATTCACTCACTTATTCATTCACTCACTCGTTCACTCGTTCATTCACTAATTCATTCACTCACTCATTCATTCACTCACTCATTCACTCACTCGTTCACTCATTCATTCACTCACTCATTCACTCATTCACTCACTCATTCATTCACTCACTCGTTCATTCAATAATTAACTCATTAATTCATTCAATCATTCACTCATTCAATTATTCACTCATGCATTCACTCAATCGTTCATTCATTCACTCATTCATTCACTCATTCACGCATTCATTCACTCATTCATTCACTCATTCACTCCGCTTGTAAGGTTTTGCCATATCAATGATAAGCAAATTCAATCAGGAATTTGATATTTCCGGCAATTGAACAGCATGTTTTATCGGGGGGGCCTTGTTTAAGAACCTTCAAACACTCCACCGCTATCCGCCCACCCACCACTACCACTGGCCTTGTTTACATGAATATATATGTGGGGTGGGTGATTGATTCAAAACAAGGGATAACATTGACCGACACACAGACAACGACTCAATTCGGACCAGGCACTTTCATTGAATAAAGGGCCCTCAGTCAAACCCTCAATCCTGACGTCGGGCGCCTGTTTAGTACGGCCTGTCTTTACAAGATGCAGCCCGGCCTGACATCGACAATAACACTCCCAGCAAGGCTGCGAATTCTATTTGACCATACTTCACCACGGCTGGCCACTAACGCGTTTGTAAAGGCGCGGGAGCATAGATCGGGGCGGGGAGGGGGCATAGAAGTGCAGAGAGGTACAGCACAACGTGCATTCTGCTGCACTGACGATACTCAACGTCGTAATGGCGACCGCACGCGGGATGGTGTGAGTGTGTCTGAGTGTGTGTGGGTCTGAGTGTGTGTGAGTGTGTCTGAGTGTGTGTGAGTCTGAGTGTGTGTGTGTCTGAGTGTGTGTCTGAGTGTGTGTGTGTGTGTCTGAGTGTGTGTGGGTCTGAGTGTGTGTAGGTCTGAGTGTGTGTAGGTCTGAGTGTGTCTGAGTGTGTGTAGGTCTGAGTGTGTGTGTGGGTCTGAGTGTGTGTCTGAGTGTGTGTGGGTCTGAGTGTGTGTGTGTCTGAGTGTGTGTCTGAGTGTGTGTGGGTCTGAGTGTGTGTGAGTGTGTCTGAGTGTGTGTGTCTGAGTGTGTGTGGGTCTGAGTGTGTGTGTGGGTCTGAGTGTGTGTGTCTGAGTGTGTGTGTGGAGCCCCAATGCGGTTTCTGGAAAGGGCGGGCCTGCACAGATGCCATATTTTCTGTCCGTCTGCTACAGCAGAGGGGTAGGGAATTCCAACAAGACCTACATCTCTGCTTTATTGACCTGGTCAAGGCCTATGATACCATCAGTAGGCCTGGGCTCTGGGTTGTTCTTCGTGTTTTTGGAGTCCCTGACCCTCTGCTCACGATCATTAAGGACCTTCATGATGGTGAGCGGGCCCGGGTAAAACTACGTGGCCGGGAGTCAGAGCCATTCCCTGTACACCTTGGGGTGCGACAGGGATGTCCTCTGGCTCCCACATTATTTAACATCTATTTTGACCACGTAGTTAGTGAAGCCTTCAATAGCTGTACTGGGGGAATCTCCATATAGTACAGATATAATGGGAGGCTAATCGATGCCCGGGTGCGGTCAAGGGATGGCTCCCTATTGCTCAACCACGTTATGTATGCTGATGATTTGGTAATAGCTGCTCAGTCAGAGGAGGAGTTGGAGACGCTGCTGCTGAGACTGGAGCGTGCCACTAAGAGGTGGGGCCTTACCATCAGCCCCACCAAAACTAAGCACCTGCCTGGGTATTTTGTACCATCGGACACTCCACCCCCACAACTCCCAATCGGTGATGGGGCAGTTGTGGAGAGAGTGGAGAGTTTTCCATACCTGGGCAGTGTGCTTATGACTGGCTCCAGTTTAACAGCAGAGGTCTCACTCCGAATCAGTCGAGCGGCAATATCTTTTCATCGGTTGCGTAACGCTGTGTGGAAGCTACCTGGTCTGTCGCTCCGCACGAAGTTTCAGGTCTTCTCGGCCACGGTCATTCCCTCCCTTCTCTACGCTTGCGAAACGTGGACCCCCCTAATGGAACATCTTCGCCGGTTAGAAACATTTGGGCTGGCCTGCCTACGATCCATCCTGGGTTTAACCAGGCTGGATTGTGTGAGGAGCTCACAAATCCTTGAAAGATCTGGGCAGGGTCCCATCGGTGAGCTCCTCCGGCGGGCAAGGCTGCGATGGCTGGGTCATGTAGCCCGCATGCCCAGCCACCGCATGCCGAAACAGCTTTTGTTTGGCCAGATTGAGGGGGCTAAGCGGGCGCGGCACGGGCTAGAGAAGAGATGGAGTGATGTGGTACAGGAGGACGTGGAGTTGAGTGGACTTGCCGATGACTGGTACCAGCGGTGTCAAGATCGGCCTCTGTGGAGGAGGCTCGTGAAGGACGCTACTGGGCAGTTAGAGGCAGTCGCCCTCCAACAACAACGGAGGGCGGAGGAGCGACGCTCACAACAACGAGCGGAGCGCCGGGTGGCTAAAGCACGGCAGGTTGGCACAGTAGGAGGCACAGGTGGTGCATCAGCCAGTCATCTCAGTCAGTCGACCCGTGGCACCTGGGTCTGCCCCGTGACCTGCCCGCGGGCGTTCGACACTTCACCTGGCCTCAGGGTGCACATAGCCTGGCACAAGCGTCGTGGTGACGTCACCGCCACTTAGTGGTGAATGGCGGTTGTTGTTGTGGGTGTCTGAGAGAGTGTAAAGTAATAATCAATCAATGTTCTCATGGAACATTCTTAATCTATAAGTAAATTAAACGTAATTGAGGATTCAGGCTTTGCCTAGAAACAGGTTAGTAGGCCTCAAGCCTTAGGCCTAACGGTTTAAACTTTAATTTGGTTACTCGACTAAGGTGTTTAATAACTTAAAAATTACAGAGATCGTTAGATGGCAGATCTTCAGTCACCCCTATATCTGTCAGTGCATTTTTAACTCATTTGAGGATTCATTCTAACGCCACAGGCTTCGTCTAATAACAGGTTATTAGGCCTCAGGCCTAAAGATTTAAACTTTAATTTAGTGCCCCATCTAAGGTATTTAATAACTTAATTTTACAGGAACAGAGGTCCTTCGATGGAAAATTATCAGTCACCTCTTAATCTATAAGTATTTTAAAAACAAATTCAGGATCAATTATCTTGGCGCAGGCTTCGCCTAGTACCAGATGAGTAGGCCTAAATGTATAAACTTTAAATCTGTTTACTCATAGAAGGTGTTTAATAACTTAACAATTTTTTACCGAGATCCATAAATTGCAGATTATAAGTCACCCCTTAAAATCTATAAGAAATCATGTTAAATGTAATTTGGGGATAAATTATCCGTCATGTTATTTGTTATTACGGCTGTTCATGAATGTTGCAGAGGTAAAGGCGCAGCCCTGCAACTGCCGGCAGGAG